ATATGTAATTATTTTCAATTTGGGCCCTTATTTGTAATTATTTTCACTTTTCGGGCCCCTATATGTAAATTCCCCTAATAAAAATCCGTCTAAATAAATACCACATTAATTAATTTGATTGATAAAAAAGTAATTAGTTAAAAGGTAGAGTAATCGATTAGACGTAAATTCTTACATGTAATGTCACGCAGCTATTTAGTTTAAATATATAATTTTTTTTAAAAAAAGACAATTATACAATATTACAAATTTATATAGAACTATACATATGTTTGATTTTATTGGATGATCGGCCACTTCACTGTGACTCACTTTTAAGAATTTAATATTTCACAAAAATTGACATTACAATGATAAACCCAAACTATCTCAGAGAGGTATATTGTTAGAAAGTGAAATTTCTACGTATATTATAATTATTGACTATTATTTTAACTATATATCAGTACTAAAAACATAGCCATTCGGAAATGGCTCAGAAATGAATTCATGGACTGCTCTATCCAAGTGGAGGCGAAATCTCCCAGTTAGATCTCGCATAATAGATATACAGAAAAAAGTAGTGAAACTCTATAAAGAACTGCCAGATCTGTCTGAATTAATAGATAAATTAAAGAATGATCGCAGGTTTTATGAAGTTATAGATGAAAAAGATGAAGATCTTATACATCCTGATGATTTGGAATACTTCCACCAAACATTTAATATTCCTAGGGTTTGCCCATTGTTTGTAGACCATTCCGGATATACGTTTTTGATTTTAGATGATCATGGTTTTATGTTTAGATAGGACAAGATGTCACAAAACTTGGATTATTTGGGAAACAGTTTGAGAGAAGGCCTTACAAACTATATCTACCATCTGGAGAAAATATATGCTATAATGGAGTTCACTTGTGAGCTGATACCTAGAGAAGAATTTAGACGTCAAATAAGAGAAAAGCTATGTGATCTCAAGTTCCAATCGTCTGCAAAGAGTTTATAAAAAAATCTATATTTTCTTAAATATGAAATTTGTAAATTTCATTGCTATTTTTAAATTTCTTATTTTTTTCTAACTTATATTTTCTTTATAATTTTTATTTTCTATTTTCTCTAAATATCTTTATATGATATAAGAATTTGAAGAATAATAGCCCTATATTTATGTCAATAATTTTTATATACTTGTACTTTATTCATTGTTGCTGAAATTTTAACAATTAGTATTTGATTTAAATAAATTGGTAATTCTGCTGCTTTCAATATAATTACTGGTAGTGCTGAATTCTATGTCATTAATACAAGTTCTTGTTTCATTATCTCATTCATGATCAATGATATTCATCTAATAGTTAGCTACTAAATGTACTGTATATATGTTTTTATATTTAAAGTGAGAACTTGCTTCGTAACTTTATTTATACTAGGAACGGAGTGTGCAAATCACGTAACACAGGGATAGTGATTTTATGTAGTGACAAAATCAAAATTATGTGATGTGATATGAAACATATTTGCCAAATTATGCACAATTCTGTGACATACCTGGCCAGATTCTGTAGTATACTTGTCAAATTATATGCGATTCTAATATTCATGATCGAATCTTTGCTGGAACTTATTTCAAAAAATTTCATAACCTTGCTCATAATTTGAGTTCGTTCAAATTCTGAAGATGCTGGATCCGTTAGATTTTATTCATTGCCTCAATAAAAATAGTCAAATTATGTGCAATTCTTGTAAATTACTACATTATGTGATATTCTGCGGTAACATACATCATATTATGTGATATAGGTATATTTATGTGAATTCTGTAGTATTATGTGAAACACATAAAATTACTGTCTCTGATCACGTAGTAATGAATTATACGGCAATTTAAATGGCATTACTTGACAAAATCTTAGATCTAATTAGTCAACAATGCATCACGCCTTCTATCTTGTATGTTGATTTGCTAGACAACTTCTGCACATGATTTGATCCCACATAAATTTGTATTATTGCTTATTCTGTGAACTGTTCTGCTATGATTTTGGAAGAAACAAATTGACAAAACTATACATGCATGTGTAATTACGGAAGCCATAACAAATTATGATTTTTCGTATATAAATATTGGTGGGCCAATACAAATTGGAATGTTTATTTACCGAATTTTTAGCATTTGTTATTTTTTCTTTGGATATGTGAATTGATAAAATGTTAATTTCTGATTATCAAGGATAAAAGCAGAATTTGTTAATCATTTCTAAATATCCAATGATTACTAGATTATATACTAGGAACAGAAAGATGTAGTTCACGATAAGGTGTTTATATGGCAATTGAACATATTGAACCATCTTTATACTGATAAGTAATATATATCATTTTACTAGTTTAATTAATTTATACTGTGCTTATACAAAAAGTTTGTAAATGCATTGAAATTAATAATTGTCAATTAACTAATCAGGATGCAGAATCAGGTGTAACGTGAAAATCGAAGTAATTTTTAAAAAGGCAATTTCTATTTTTACACAGCGTGTACGTACATAGGAAATATAGATATCTAAAAAGTTTTATTGGCTTCTAATAAAAAAATCTCTTGTGAAATTTTAGTATAAACTATATCTTGCCTAATTATAAATTCACCCTTACCTTAACCATAACCGAGAGTTTAATTTTTTGTTTGTAAAAATTGCTTTGATTAGTACAGTCAACTCTCTCTAAGTGCACGTCCTCTAAATGCAATTTCTCTTTAAATGCAATTAAATAGTCTGGTCCCGTTTAGAAACTTATAATATAAATGCAAGTTCTTTATTCTGTAAGTGCAAGATTTTTTTTAGCCAGCATATATAAAATTATTTTCTCTAATTGCAAAATATTTTATTAAACAATTAAATTAACTTATTTAATTAAAGGTTTTTTTTCTAAGTGCTAGATTTTTTTTTAACTTATAAACTTGCATTTAGAGAGAATTAATTATATATTGATTTAGTTTTCTTTAATTGCAAGTTCTCTCTAAATGCAAGTTATTTTGTTGGCCCATTGACTTGCACTTAAAGAGAGTTGACTGTATATGTAATTTAATATACCCTATAGTCCCAAAACTAAGCACCCTTTTTTTTATAGAAGTGCTTTTGATAATATTTATGATATGCTGTAATTTATCATTATGTAAATATATATAAAAGATAAAATAGGAAGTAATCTTAATTTAAAATATAGTTATTATCTTTATTGTTATATTACCATGAAATGAATATAGAAATAATATATATGAAAAAGAAAGTTATTAAATTTAAGTGTAATTCATATTCTATCAAATAATAAAAACAAGTTATCACTTATACTAAAGAAACAAGGAGGAATAAAGCCATAGTAGTTTTTAAAATTAATCCTAATATGGGTGGTCATTGAATTAAAGCAAATAGGCTATAGGAGCTGAAATAAAACAAAGCAATAAGCGAGTTAGCTCTGGTCAAACAGAATTTTACCCTAGGGTGAAAAAAGTATACAATTGGATTATAAAAAAGTGAAAAAAGAATTTAGTATTTCTTATGAGATTATACCATTAAAGTGCATAATATTTAAGGCACCTGATATGATAACTCTTTTTAGAGATTCAACAAACAATTTTAAAATTTCAAATATATTAAAACCTAGTAATACAAATTCAGAGAGGCGAAACTAATATAAAACACAAGAGGGTTTATTTTTGATGATACCAAATGTTGGTGGTGTTTAATATCCCAAGCATCACTCTAATACTAAAGTAAATAAAATATTTTTTTTTATTTTATCATTATTGGCTAATTACATACTAGTGATGATTATTGCCAGTTATTTGTAGTTAAATTCTTATCAATATTTGTAAAATAATATATAATTTAATTATAATTTAATTTTAATATATATATTATATTATATATACAAGTTTACTAAAATATATTAGAGGTGTTGTAACTTACACAGGTCTGAATTTGACATATCTTATATTTATTCTACATCTATTCTATACAATAATATATAGGTTATCTTATACATATCTGTGAACCAACTACATATATTCTACACATATTTTATAAATTTAAATATTTGTATAGGATTTGTATACTATATATGTATTATATGTATAGAATATTCTATGTTATTCTCACTTATTTGCTACCTGATTTGTATAGCTTAAGTGTAAATTATATCAAATTTTGACCTGTATTAGTAAAGTAGTAAAATTGTTACACTTACAAGCAGCATATCTAGAGTTCAAATCTTACTAGTGATAAAATTCAAATATTTTGTTGTAGAATAATTACTATTTCTTAAAGTCAGTTAAATTTAGAATTTGTAACCAAGATCATACCAGATATCTGAAAGGATTATTAGATATTTATATAATATATAAGTTATACAAAGGCATGAAAGTTAGTATTAGTTGATGCAAATCTATGATAAGTTTTGATAATTGTGTAAAATTAAAAAACCAGAAAGATAGATACTTATTTAGCAAGTTCTAAATAGAGAGGTAGCACAAATCTTTAATAGTATTACTAGAATAAGATATATCTAAAGTTAAATAAATTAAACAAAAATAGGATATTCATCAAGAGTATTTCAACCAGGTTATCAGAATATCGACTAGAAGAAAAGAATTTACAGTACAGATATCAGAAAACTAATATTCTTTCTAAGCCAACTAAATTAAAAATTTAAAAAGACTAACTAGAGTGGTACCAAAAATAGAAAGTACTAGATTGATTTGAAAGAGAGTATTGGGTTTGAGTGAACTTTATAAAGTAAAATAAATAACAGTAGCAAAGGTTAAAAACTAGCTACAAGTATTTGTTCTCAAATTCAGCATAAGTTAGACTATAAATACAAAAAGCTCTAGCAGGTTTACCTTTAAAAATAAAGACTCTCTAAAATAATTAAGCCTGCTTTAAAAACTAAGCCAGATATTTAAAATAAGGGTACAAATATATTCTTGCTCAATTAAAAATTAATTTTATAGATGCAAAAGGTTTAAATAGATAAAATTCTTAGTTAGGTTATAAATATGACATCTAGTATAAAATTTAGTAATAAGTTGACTACTTTAATAGGTAATCAAAAGTTGTATATATAGTTAATATATATCTTTCAAATATATATACTATGCAGACTATTTTAAAAAGAAATATTTATTATATGGTAAAGTTACTTTAAACTAAACAAAAAAAAATAGTCAAGAGATCACCTAAATATCAAAAATAAAATAAAATAAAATATATTAGTAGTATTTAATATTATATACTATATAATATAAAATAATTATCAAAACAAATAAATAAAAAATTAAAAAAGATTAAAATTTGACTAATATTAGGATTAGAGATATTAACTAAAATTGAAATAAAAGTTATTATAACCAAAATTTTGCAAAAAAATTTTGTTAAAAATGGTTTTATAAGCAAAATTTTAAGTTATTAAAAAATAAAAAAATTGGTTTGATTTTTTATATTATATCTAATCTTGATATTATATTACAGATCAATAAAATTTTTATAATATTAAATACTTTAATATATTTTAGTAAACTTGATATATAATATATATTATATAATTAAATAAAAATTATTATTTTTTATTAATATTAAAAATTTATTACTATTTTATTTAAATTATATTATATATTTTTTATCAATATATTATTTAAATTATATTCTCATATATTTTAGTAAACTTGATATATAATATATATTATATAATTAAATAAAAATTATTATTTTTTATTAATATTAAAAATTTATTACTATTTTATTTAAATTATATTATATATTTTTTATCAATATATTATTTAAATTATATTCTCATATATTTTATTATCTACTTTTTTAATATTTTTATATACTTTTAATAATATTTTTTATTTTACTAATATATTTATTTTT